TGTCCATACTCGGATAAAGGAAAGAGAGTTGTGTTTTGTTGTTGACAAAGAGTGCAAACCTTGTCAGATTTTTCTAATGACAACATGAACCTTGAAAATAAGTGTAAATACTTGGGCAGTCCCCTTTAAGCTATCTGCACCCCGGTGATTCGAAAAATGGGCAAGGGTGGGCCTCTTGTTTCACATTCGAAATCACTCCTCTCAATTTATTGAAAATAAAGCTGATTAAGCTTATTGCAAAACAAATTATCTCTATTTAGAGGTGGATCCTTTAGTTTAGTTTCTCTACTTCACTCATGGAAATCCCACACACATCTAGTGACTCTAGTCACTCTTCCACCATTGCTTTTATCAACAACATTAAAATCCACCTTGGGCTACCCAAACCAATTAGACCCTGTCAGTTCCTCTCGAAAATTCCTTGTTAACCAGATCTATTTGGCCCCATCAGTCCAAGAAAAACCCCTAGTTTTTCTCATCATTCATTTTCAAATGTGCCGATACTGAGAAATCCCCCGAAACAGCGTCTAAAACAGATACTACCTGACAACCTATATAATTACAATACCCATTGGCCTACCCACATGATGAGAAAAAAATGTTATCCTTAAACCCCCCAAACACAACACACAATCCTTTCACCTATTATATCTTAATCTCTTGCAACACCACAATGTCCGGGTATGCTTTAACACCACTTCCCTAATAGACCTCTTTTTCTTCCCATTACCTATTCCACACACATTCCAATTAAGAATCTTATTTAGAACCATCTTCAACCCCCCCTAGATTTCTTCAAACACTACACCCTTCTTAGTTGGCTTGGCACCTAATTTCATGTTTTTAAGCTCCCTAAAATCCCTTATTGACTAGTATGGGATTGTCTCTAGTATCTGTTATAGTGGTTGCTCTTGATGTCCTTTGAAATTTATTTCTCAAGGATTGTCCCTTTTTTTTTACAAAACATTAAGTATGTTATTGGCGATGGGGAGAAGATTCACTTTTGGGAATATGTTTAGGGGGAAGATTTTTTATTTGAATCCTTGTTTTCTCATTTGTTTATGCTATCTAGACCTCATAACTCACCCATTGCAAGAATGGTTTCATCGTTTTCCTCTATCACTAGTTGGAACTTTAACTTATTTAAAAATTTGAGAGATAGAGAAGTGGATGAATTATCGTGTCTATTGGTTATCCTTGACCACATTGGTTTGAGACAAGATTCCTTGGATAGAAGTTGGATCATTTCTTCTTCGGGTGAGTATTCTTGCAAATCTTTCTTTTATTCCTTGATTGATAAACCACAACTTCCAATTTTTGAACGTTTTTCTTTTGTTTAAAAGAATAAGGAACCTTTGAAAGTACCAATTTTTGTATTGTTGATTGCACATAAGAAACTAAATACAAATGAATTGCTCCAAAAAGGGTGGTTTTTTTCTCTTCAAACACAATAGTGCGTCTTTTGTAAGAAAGAAACGGAGTGCTAGGATCATTTGTTCATTCATTGTGCTATTGTCTTAGAGTTGTGGAATAGATTCATGGGCATTGTTTGGATCCCTTGGGTGATTCCATGTAGTTGTGATTTGGTGCTTAGCATGAATTTTGATGGCTTTGGTTCATGTACCAAAGTCAAGGTTCTATGGAGATGTGCGGTATTGACTTTGTTTTGGGTGTTTGGTTGAAAGAAATGAGCGAATTTTAAAGAAAAGGAGACTCCTTGAGAAGATTTATGCGATAAAATATCTTTCATGCCATCACTTTGGGTGTCCATGTTCGAGGATTTTGAAGGGATTCTTCTATTTTTGATTAAAGACCATTGGGTTCAAATTTGCAAATACTGTTGCCACCTTTTTTTTTTAATCTATTTTTTGCTATTTTGTGTTCAACTTGTTTTGGTTTTTTTTTCTTCTTGCATTAGTTATCTATTGAGGATTCCTTGTCCTCTTATGTACTTCTTTCTTTTTACTCATCTAAACAATATTCTATCGTTTCCTATCAAAAAAAAAAGAGGAGAAAATATAATTAATATTTTAGTGTTTATACACCTTAAGTAGGATTAGATGAATATATGCTCAATTCACAACAAAGCCTTGTCCCCCGAACAGGATTGGATGGACATATAAAAGCTCATTTTTGGGAACATATGAGTGAATTAATGCGAGCAATACTTATAGTAGAGAGTAATACTTATCCTAATTTATGACATCCAAAGATTAACAATCACAATAAAAAAAACATTAATCCCCACCAATCCCAACTATAAGAGAAAGGCATACCATCACAAAGCTAACATACTCCATGGCAAGAAATTGTCTAAATCCAATGAAACATACCTAAAAAAAGAATCTCTTAACAAAAAACAAATATGTATCAATGCATCTGTGTTCTTTAAGAAATTTCGTCGGACATGAGATATGTAAGAATGGTGTAGGTAAAACAACCTTTTCATTATGGTGACACCGACTAAATGGAACCCTCCACTCAACTATCCTATAGCTGGCAGAAATGCAGTATGCCCAAAAGAACTATTCTATCTGAAAATATTTAAACAGACGCGATTTACACAAAGCATCAACAATTAATTCAATTCGAAATAACAAATTCAATAATAGAGATCGAAAAAACATTATGAAAATCCAATCAATCTAGGGTTGACATTAAAATCTAGGGGTTTGCTTTCATTATTTTCTTGCTTCCTCTTGCGATCAAAATGTGTCTGTGTGTGTGAATCTGGCTAAGTGTGTGGCTGAGTGTGACTGTGTGTGCTATGTGCGAGAGATGTGTGTTCTTTTTGTTGTGTGTGTGCTGTGTTGAAGATGAACCCAGATACCCGGGGGGGGGGGAGAGAGAGAGAGAGAGAGAGAAAGAGAGTAAAAGAGGGTATCTAAATAGTGGGTTCATCGGTGGTGGGCTAGGGTGGCTCCACAGGTTGCTGGGTAGAGAGAAAAGGAAGAGAGAGCAGAGGGAGGGTCATGGGTTGCTGGGTAGAGAGAGAAAGGCAAAGGAGATGGGTTGTTGGGAGTGGGTGTTTCACATTGGGGGGTGTGCGAACTATGGGGGTTTTTACTTTAGGTTTTTAACTTTAGGCAGGAAAGATTCTTTGGGATGAATTTTGTATCGTTGGAAGAAATGGGATAGAAAGGGAATTAATCTAGACTGTTATTGTGTTTTTCTAAGTTGTTGAATTCGAAATGAGCTCTATTTATTATTATAGATTCCTAGAGAGATAATTTGATATGTTTTAGAAGAGGAAAAAAGTACAAGTAGATATATTAATATAATTAAAGATATGTGCGAGTGTGCAATGAGTTTAGTAAAAACAACTACCCGGGAGACTAGTGGATTCCAAATCACTGTAAGTTACTGTATTTCTTTGCCTTTGTTATTGATGAATTAACTAGACATGCTCAAGCTGAGGTTTTGTAGTGTACATTATTTGCTAATATTATAATATTGATTGACGAAATTAAAACAGAAATTAACAGCAAATTGTCTCACCCACTTGAGTGTGGTTTGCTTTTGTTGGGCATGTCTAGGTTTTTCTCATGGTATAGTGTATAAAAGAGACCCAACTACATATCTTTTATTATAAACTATAACTTAAATCACTAAAAATTTATATTTGTATAATTTGGGAACCTAAAGCATGCACACATTTAATTTTTGAACGCCATGTTAATCAGGAAAAAAAAAATATGTGCATCCAGTTTCCGTTAGTGTTGTGTAACGTGCGTTATGCTTCGTTTCTTTACCCCATGACCTTATTGTTATTTAAAACACTGCCCATGAGTGCTCTTTTCATGGATCTATCAGGAGTGGTAATGGTGGTAGTTGCTTCCTGCTGCCGCATGCCAGCACTCAATTCCAGCAGTAGCATCATTTTGTTGTGTTCTTATGGTCCAGTTGTCATAGCGTTCCCTGATTAGTGTAATGTTGTTGGCATGCATTTTACACAAACTAAATTTTAAAACCGAAGCATGCTTCATCTGTTTTTCTTCTGTAACAGTTGGACAGGGAGTGACAGGATTTGTTTCTTTTCTTTTCTCTTTTGGTTTAATGTGACAAGAAATGTTTAAATTGCTAGGAACTCTTGTAATGCATAAAAACTTCTAGCTTCTAGCTTCTAGCTTCTAGCTTTAAATTCCATATAGAGAAGAGCACTCCAATAATAATGACCAACGAAAAACAGTTTCTTATAGAACGAAGAATTTGGAGTTTCAAGTCAGTTGGTATTCTACAAAGCTCAACTGCCACACATTGAAGTATTTGTGTCCATCAAAACATTATCATGATAGTTATTTCTCACCTCCATTGTTACAATGATTGTTTGGTTATTCAGAATTTGCCATGCATCTCTTATTTTCATATCCTTACGATAAATCTTCAGTATCAATCACATGTTTTACCCTGGACTAGTTGTTTAACGTCTTTACTGCAAAATGTCAGATGTCGCGAAGGTATGATAGCCGTACAACGATCTTCTCCCCAGAAGGTCGTCTCTACCAGGTTGAGTATGCAATGGAGGCCATTGGAAATGCAGGTTCTGCCATAGGCATATTGTCCAAAGATGGGGTTGTGTTGATAGGTGAAAAGAAAGTCACTTCCAAGCTCCTTCAAAGCTCAACATCACCTGAGAAGATGTACAAGATTGATGACCATGTAGCATGTGCTGTGGCTGGAATAATGTCTGATGCCAACATTCTTATCAACACAGCCAGGGTCCAAGCACAGCGCTATACTTTTGCTTACCAAGAGCCCATGCCCGTTGAGCAGCTAGTCCAGTCTCTATGTGACACGAAACAAGGCTACACGCAGTTTGGTGGACTCCGTCCATTTGGTGTTTCGTTTCTGTTTGCTGGCTGGGATAAAAATTATGGCTTCCAGCTTTACATGAGTGACCCAAGCGGAAACTATGGTGGCTGGAAGGCTGCAGCCATTGGAGCAAACAATCAGGCGTCTCAATCAATGCTTAAGCAGGACTACAAGGATGATATGACAAGAGAAGAGGCGGTACAACTTGCACTTAAGGTGCTCAGTAAGACAATGGACAGCACAAGTCTTACTTCAGAGAAGCTTGAACTGTCTGAAGTATTCCTCTCTTCTGGTAAAGTGAAGTATCAGGTGTGCTCTCCAGAAGCCCTGAGCAAGTTGTTAGTGAAATTTGGTATGACCCAACCAGCCCCTGAGGCTTCTTAAAACTCAAAATATTCTCCTGAAGTTTCCAGACTTATTTGTGGTAGGTTAAGTTGTGTGCTTCATTTTGTAAGTTCTGTCAAAAACTAGCGATGGATTTTTTTCCCAATGGGATTGCTTTCTATGTTGAAAACAATATATTCCTTTGTTCATGCATAGGGGCTGGTTTCTATGAGCTACGTGGTAATAATCACAAATCTGTGGATCATCTGTTTTCCCCATTACCCTGTTGCTATATCTCTGTGGATCCAATTGTTTTCAGTGGCAGGGTTGAGTTGGACTGCTCCTAGAGCCTTCTCCACCATGTTTGTTGAGACCTATAATGGTTTTCGGAGAAGCAAAAAAAATCATTATGGAATGTGGAATTCTAGCAATTATGTCGACTCTTTGGTTGGAGAGAAATGTAGAATTTATTGTCAATAAATGTAAAGTGGTGGATAGCTTATGGGGACGGGACGGAGTTAATTTTTAGCATCGTTTTGTGCCACTGTTACTAAAGAGTTTCACGGAACTCCACTGTTTTGTATTTTGGCAGGGGGGAATGCTTGGCGTGTTTCATAGTTTGATTCTCATGTATTTTTGGGTTGGTAATGCTTTGCTCTGAGGATTTGTCCACCTATTTAGTACAATAATATGCATAATTTCATTTTCGTTAATAAAGTTTGTGTTTCGTATTAAAAGAAAAAAAGAAAAGAAAAGAAAAAATTATACTGCCTTCTCCTTGGACAAAATTTGTCTCAACCCATTTTTCTCATTTTGTTGTATTAAACCAATATACTCTGGTTAACGTTCGCTGCCGTCAGTCAGCCCATAAAAAACATTGGCTTGTGTGGAAATGAGGTGCTCGACTTAATTGATCCATAGCCATTCTAAGCATTTTTTTATCATGTAGATAATCTTGAGACGAACATTCCATCATCCAACATCATATCTTTTTGCTCTATACTAAAAGGATGAGAACGTCTAAATTCTAACAGCAGGACAGAAGAAACAAGTTAGAAGTGGCAGACATGTACTGAAGAATTGACGCCAGAAGTGAGGGTAAGAGAAGGAAATTTTTTTACCTTTCTATTGTTTTAGTTGTGGCTTGTGAGAACAAAAAATAATTCTTCATAACAAATGAGGAGAGATTTGGACAGCTTGGGTTGGGAAGCACAAGGTACCAGCACTCACTTGGAATTTAGGCTTTCATTTCTCTTATAACTTCCCTGATTTCTCATTTGAAAAAAACAAATCATTTCAGTGCAGAGTCTATAGGGAGATTATGAAGAGCCAAGTGATATACAATCTTCTACCATAATCAATGTGTATACAAGTTAACTTAGGAAGTCAATAACTCAATTTCTCGGCAATGAGCCACTCTTGAGCAGCTACCAGATCAGGGAGGACAGTAGCACCAGATTTCCTCCAGTTTTCAGCATCGTGCGTCTTAAACCTATCCAACAATAGCGCGTGCATCCCTATGCTTTTTGCTGGCAAATAGTCTTTACGGAAGCTGTCACCAATGTGGAGAACTTCTTCTGGGGCAATATTTCCAGCCCTTTGCAAGGCAATCTCATATATTCTTGGGTCAGGCTTCTGTACTCCTTCGAGACCGGAGAACACACCAAAGTCCCACTCAGATCCCTGAATACCAAAAAGCCATGAGAGAGAGTATCAAGACACATACTCCTCACATCAACATCAAGACCTGAATATACAGTTAACTTGAAACAGTATTTTATATTATTGCAACATTACAAGATCTCTTCGATTTTACACTTCCCATTATCCTAACATTTTTACCTGATTTAGTCCCAAGGCCGGAAGAATTACATCCTTATACCGATACTCAGCATTGCTAACAATACCAACTGTTAGACCCTTTTTACGAACCCATCTAAGGAACGGCTGGGAATCTGGAAAGATGGTATAAGGTGCAGAAGAACCAAAGCTTGCATATATGCGTTTGAACACCTTCTCAAATGTCTCCTCATCGTAATCATATCCTGCCTGTCACCATAAGGGATTCAATTTATTCTCCGAAAAGCTGAAGGAACATGGTAAAAAAAAAAAAATGGACTTAAAGCAAGATACAGGCTGGAGATTTTCAACAAATGTTTGTTTTGTTAGACAGCATACTATGCTGCTGCACAATGCATCACTGTGTGAGGAGTTCTGCGTTGTCACACCGACACATGAAAACAGGGAGTTAACACACATTCCTTGCTTTTCCTTAGAATCAATACAACATTATGTTACGTACTATTTCGGTGACAGGCTGGATAATTCAATAAGCAATGACCTGATAGTATATGATAATGAAATATCATACCCTGATAAAGGAATCTCTCACACAAGTCTTCCACCATATGATGTTGGGAATCTTTTCAGCAAACCCAAAGCACGGATGCTTTCTTGCCATGTCTGTGTATGCCAGCTTAAAGCCCTCATGCGTATGGTTATAGTCTGGGCAAGGCAGTCCCACAGATTTGGCTGCCATGCAATAATAGTCACCAAGTTCTCCTTTGTAAGCGATTAGTGTACCAGTAACATCCACTGTGATGCAGCGTAACTTTGTTAATATAGACATTTTAAAGATGATTCCGCCCACCGGTTCCAGGTGTTCAGATTCTGGAATTTTGCTTAGGAAACTTCAGTCTACCACTTCTGTTCTATATTTGAGTAAGATCCTTAGAACACCAACTGATTCAGCATGTCAATCAGCTCCCTTGGTAAATCGCACAAGTCCTGCATTTGAATATATAACCCTGTGGGAATCAAATGCATCCATGGGGTTAAAAGATAAGATCTGGATGATTGTATGCTATAAAACCAACTTAGAACTCACTCCCTTAAGAACAAAAATTTGTAAAAGATGATAATACTAGGAATGAATTCATGGTAAAACATAATATTGTCTGAAGGTGTGATTTATAAAGAATTGAAAAAGGGGGAAAAGAAAAAACAAGTTCCAAACATATGTTTGTAGCAAATGAGTTTTGGTCAAATTCTTGTCACATGCAGTGAATGGCTTCGTAACTCCTACTTTCACCGTTTCTTTCCAACAAATTCCATGTTACTAGGACTAGACACAGCAAGTGAACCATCAGGTCTGAGTGTCAAAAATTATCAGGAAATTAAGACTTGGGGATTAAGAACTAATGCTTGATTACAGGGTCCAGTTTTGAAGCATCTAGCAGCAACAAATAAATGGCTAGCTTAAACAAAGAGTCATGACTTTGGATCATGCATCTTTCCCAACCTAATGAAGAATTGAAGATTAATCGAATCTGGAAGCTAAGAAATTTAATAATAGCTAAAACTATTCTTAAACAGAAAAAAAAAAAAACATGCAGGGAGTCCCGAAAGATTTCTGAGTGGTAAAAAGAAAATATTAAAGCGTGAGCTATCTCACAAGCTGCTAGTTATCCAGAAGTGATTATGTAAGACCCTGTACTAAAATTAAATAAGAATACTAATATCTTAAGAGTTTTCCAAATATGAATAAAATGAGGATAAAAACTTAGAATCATTGTTGAAATATTAATCATGAAATTTGAGTTTCGAACGGATTGACTTTTGGGTCAAACTTATTTTTTTTTTTTTTGGATGTGTTTAAGATTGATAAGGGTAACTAAATAAATATATTAATTTTTTTTTATCAAAATAACATTACCATTGAATTCGGGAGGTCGGAAAACATTGGGAGAGGTGATATGGGATGTATTAGAAGTTAGGAAGTATTTTAGAAGTAAAACCAAATTGGAGTGAAATTGGGTAAAAAGGGGTGATAGACACTGCTTAGTATTTTGATCATAACTTTATATTTTGATGTCCAATTGATCTGAAATTTTGACAGGAAATATTAGACATCTAGGGCTACAAAAGTGTATTTCATGAAAAATTTCCAATTCGACCTCTAAATGGGTCAAAACTGACCTAGAAGTCGCACCAAAAATCTGTGAACAGTACGAAGGAAACCCTATTTTTTCTGAACAGAAAATATCGGGTTTTGCTCGATTTTCTTGCCCTATAAAAACCTAATGTCGTCCCTTTAGCATTCATTTCACCCCTCCAAACCCTAGGAACCATTTTAGAGGAAGAGAGGAAGATAGAAATACCAATCAAGAGGGATTTATACCTTGTAGAAATCAAAACTTCAAATTCTTCAAGAATACATTCTCCTCCCATTTTCTTCCATTCTTGCTACCCTCTCACCCAAATCTTTTGAAACCCTAGGAGGAGAAGATTAAGAGGAAAAGAAAGGAGAGCAAAAAGGTCTTGAAGCTTGGGTTTTAGCTTGGAATCTTGATTTAAGGTAGGGGATTTTCTCTCAATCTCTCACATTGAGGCTAGATATATATCTATAGATATACATGTATATAGATATATGTTTCTTCACTCTCCTTCTCATATATATAATATGAAATACATGATTCTTGTTCTATTTGTAATAAATGCCATGTTTTGAACAATATGAAGGGTGGGTAACCACCAAAGCTCTATTGATTTTTTTTTTTATCTTCAAAGCCCTAGTTTTCAAGAAAAGGGGATTTTCTCCTAATTTCTTCTTTGTCTTTGATTTTAAAACTTTAGTGTTGAATATTGTATAACAAAATGATATAGATTACGATCTCTTGCATATTTTCTTGGATTATTCGATTATATGACAAATGTGAAAACAAAATTGGGAATTTTACTATATTTGGAAAATTGTTGTGAATTGTGAATATTCTTGATTTCCTCATTGAATGGTTGTTGTGATGGACTTGGATTACCTTCGAGAGATGCCGTAGAGTGTTAGAGGTTAGTCTATCCCAATGGGGGGTGAGATGGTTGCCTAATGCTTGTAGTGGATCGTTGTTGTGCTCGCGATCACTATTGTTCACATATACACCGAGGAAAAGGGTTAGTATATTAGACACCTTGGGAGGATTTCGTCAATGCCGTAGGAGACGGTACACGCCCTTCCTAAAGAGATTTGTGATTGTTGGTTGGAATTGGTGGACTAGGCATGATCGTTAGGTAGATTCACGAGAAACAATCAACATACATGGTACGAGGATGAACCAAAAATACATGGAATCGGGAGTTGGGTCGTTCTTGCCGATGCATTGGTATGGGACAATGCTTAGGGAGAAGCCCTTCTTAAATAGCTTAAATTAGAATTTTGTTTATCGATGCTAAACTCACTTTATTCTTTTAACTGATTATTGCTATTGTTTAAACTTGAGATCTCTTTTAAAATGTCACTGTTTTCATTCCAAACCTATATATATGTTAGTTGTGAAATGAGACCGACCGTTTGCTATGTTTTTCAAACCTTGTTTGAGTTGAGAGGATTTTGCTACAGAGCTTCGTGCTCACCCCCTACAAATAAAATTTTTTCAGATTTCACACTTGAGGAGGAGTTAGGAGCCGAGGAGCCCACCCATTGGAAGACTCCGCTTGACGGGGATGTGGATCCCGAGGTGGACGCTTAGAGCGACACTTTTATTTTGTTCTAGACTAGATTATGCTTAGAATATCCTTTTGAACTCTAGTTCATTTCTGTTATTTCCGCTGCGTTATATTATTACATTTTGGAGATGTAAAGGCCAAGATTAGACCTATTAATTTGGGATGATAGTGTGGATATGACATATGATGAATGCAAGTTTATTTTATGATGGAAAAATGGACCCGGTGTGGTCAATAGTTATGCATATGTGGACCCGGTGTGGTCAATTGTATATAATTGTACAGGTTGTGTTTTGGGTAGAGCTCCCCGTACAAAGGAGACTCTGCCCAAATTTTGTTAAAATATGAATGGTTGATGAATGAAACTTTCGTCGTGATGAATTTTACTTAATGCTCTCATACGGTAAATGGTTTTTAGAATGTAATGTCACCCACGGGGGTTTTTGGGGCGTTACAGATTACTCCCTAGAAGAGAAAGGGATCATTCTCAGAGATACTTTGCTTGAATACTCGATGGCATATTTCATTTTTTCTGCCTGGCGAGCAGCCTTTTGTCACCAAGGCTTCTAAAACTTTATTATAGAAGTCTACTTGAGCCCCAATTTTTTCGTATGACAAATAAACCAATTTGCTGTTAAGAGGATTCTTTGTGCACTATCAAATGTAAGACATCTTTAGTTTCTCTCAGTTACTCAAGGTGTCAGCAGGGATTCCATCAATGTCCTTTGGACAGCATGACTCCATCCTAAAGAGTGCAAGAAATTGTGAGACTTTACTTGACCGGTTTGTTAAGATTGTATTTACATTTACGTTTATTTATCATTAGGGGTACTTTAGTCTTTCTCTTGGGCATTGTAAGCTTGGATAATGGTACCAATGGTTTTCTGCTACGGTTTTTGCTATTCAAAGTATCAGAAATTACAGATTCAGCCCCTGAAGTTCCTGAAATTTTAGATTCAACCATTGAAATTTCTGAAATTTCAGATTCAGCCTCTGAAAATTCTGAAATTTCAGATTCAGGCCCAAAACTTCCAGAAATTTCAAATTATGAAAAGTGAAAATTCACCAGTTACAACATATATGGATGTTTCTTTCAATATAGGCTTATCTCTTTTTGATGTTCATCAGCTCCTTTAAGTATATCTCAGTCCACTTGAGTGTTTGATTGAGGTGCTACACATCATATAACTAATGATCCATCATTTTTTATTTCCACATCATCTCCCCCTTCTTCCATTAGTATTATGGCTGTTAATGGTACTCCCATGTGGATAACAGGTGTTGGATATATTACTACTTCACTTTTATCTTTGAACTTGATTTCTATTAGTCAACTTTGTGATCTTGGTTACACTATTCAATTATCTTCTACTAGTTGTATTGTGCAGGATCCTTATTCCAAGAAGTTTATTGGGACAGGTCATAGAGTTGGAGGACTGTATGTGTTGGAGAAAATGCATGTTCCAGCTATGGCTGCTTCTTCTATTGATTTTTCTTCCTTTCGTTTGAGCCCTAAAGCTTCAGTGTTTTATTTATGTCATTCTCATCTTAGGGCATATTTCAAGTTCTCGTTTAAGGTTTTTAGTTTCTACTGGTGCTTTGGAAAATTTAAGTAGTCATGATATTTCTAATTGTAGTGGTAAAAACTTGTCAAATTCATGACTTCACCTTTTAAGAATAGTTCTACTACCTTTCTGCTCTTTGCGGACCTCGTGCATTCGGATGTGTGGGGTCCTGATCCCATTGCCACCAACAAGGGGTCTCGATACTATACTTATTTATTGATGATTATACCTAATATTGTTGGAGATCTGAATTTTTCTCAATCTTTGCTGCTTTTCGTGTCATGATTCACGCATAATATTCTACAGTTATTAATGTCTTGGGTGTGATTAGGGTGGGGAATACAGAGATCTGATGGAACTATTATTACTTCGAGTGTTTCTCCTTTCGAACGGTTATATAGTAAACCTCCTGATTACTTTTCATTGTGTGTCTTTGGTTGTCC